CTAAACATATCCTATAGCTGTCTCTGCGCAGTGCACACAGTGAACATAGTGGAATAAAAATACTAATTAATAGTTACTTGACACCGCACAACTTGCCAATACCAGTGGTTACAATTCTATAATAGCAGAAAGCCTGAGCAGGAGACTAATCTAGAGTCCACACCTGGGCTCACACCTGGGCTCTGGGACCATCTTGCACTCTCTGCATGTTAGCTTCATGTTAGCTTTACAGCAGCAGCTATAACAACTGTTTGCTAACCCACAACTTAGATAATGTTAGTTACATTACTTGCTGTGTCATTGTTCGCTCTGATCATGGTATCTGTCATTACAGAAGCTTGTAGAAAGGTGCTTACAACACCTTTGGAAGGCCAGAGGGAGTAGGCAAGACCTCTTGTTTGCTGTGATTAAGACTTGGTGTCAAGTAAAATATGTGAATAAGTGCCCTAGCGTTATGGTTTTGTTTTAATAATCAGATCACACACTTCACTCCTGCCAATAAGTCTTAAGTCAGAGGGACTAAAACACACAAGTGAGGGAAAACGAGGAGACAATAAGTGAGTGGGTGAATGGGATGTACCCATAGAGAAAATTTGTATTAATTTACTCATGTGGAGCATTTGCCAAAATGAATGTTCCTGTAAAGCATGTGTTTCCAGTGTTATACTGTGAGTATTCGGGGGGCGCTATGGTACGTGTGACAAAAAAATCATCCTCAGTGGGTGACTGAAGACCAGGCCGCCTCAAACCATTGACCTGCTGCTGATAATACAAGCAAGCAATTTGACTGTGACTCAAAAAAAAATCTCCTGTCTCCCTCTTTTCAAGGCCCTTGGTCTAAAGTGATGTATGGCCTACTGTGTTGTGATCAAAAGTGTTTCACAGGAATATTGATGGAAGAAAAGGTCTGATCATCCCCAAAATCCACGAGGGCCCATTAAGGGGGCATAGTATTCTCTTAAGAATGTGCATCAGTTTAAATCCTTTCAAGCGTCATCATCCTGGTCACACTTGCTGTTTGAGTGGTATTACCTCAGCCAAGGAGCTTGTGTACTGTATTTGCTCTGTTTGTCTGGTGACTTGGCACTCGTCATGAATCTGACACACATAAAATGTTGAATAATTCATCCTAATAGGATTTATGCATTCTCCAAAAATGTTGGCTACCATCAGCCAGCAGAAGTGTCAATCACTGTGTGAATTATGATGCAGATGTGGACGGAGACACACTTCAGATTTCCATTCAGATACATTTTCTATTAATACATAAGAACAATGTAGATGATTGCAATGCTGTTAAATTGTCATGTATGTAATGTAATGAATATGGATATTTGTGATTGGTATTTATTGGGTTAAAAGCACAAAAACACAAGTATGATCTTTTAATGAGGTGATTTAATTAAAGGTCCAGTGTGTAATATTTCTGAGGATCTATTGATCTACGTTCGATAATTCGTAATATAGAGCGGGGGTTGGCAGATAGGTTTTGCATCAGAGCAATTTTTTTAACCATTGGATAGTGGGTGAGAATAAAGACATAAAATTTAAAATAAAAATCAGCATTTTGGTGTTTGGTTAGCTAAGTTGGTAAAGCACAGGATTCCCACGTTGAAGGTTGTGTGTTTGATCCCACTATGGGACAATTTTTTCCCCTCTCTCTTCAACAATTTCACATGCACACATTACGGCAGTTTTTGTTTCGGTGTTTGATCCGCATTCCCAAACCTCCCAAACCTACGCCATTTCATTTCCCCAGAATCTCCAGAGAGAGGACATTTAGGAGAATCACATTTTCTGACGGCTCTTTCAGAAGTGTGTCAAGCAGGCTACAGATTCTTTTAACCTCTTAACATTCCTGGAAAATTCATGCAAAACGCCTATTCAAGGCATGTCGAAAGAAAATTGAATGTAGTTCTTGAACCATTTGGAGTATATGCATAGTTTTGGGCTTCTCTGAAAGATAACACTCAGTGGTGTCTAACCCAAAACCCAGAATGATTGTAAATGCTACTCTAAGTGATTAATATAAGTTTAAACACACTAAAACTAATATATTTTTCGTTTCCACTTGAAAATGCTTGCTAACAAATGCATGCAGATAGCTGGGAATTATTAGCTGGAAAACACTGTAGGACCACAGGATAAAGCCTTACCTAGTCCAAGTTTAGATTTCATACCAATACTATGAAAAATGACTATGTTACACAGGTGTATGACTTAGCGTATTTTTTCTAAAACAGCACTGCCCCTTGGCGGCAGGCAGCTGCTGCTGTATCACTCCGTAGTTTGACGCAGGTATGTTTTTTTCTGGCAGATCATGAACTTCCTACTTAAAGCTGGATATCATTATTTTCAGAATTTTATTGGCTACATGAAGTGCCAGTCATCGGCACAATTGCTTGCAACTGGCTCGGCCTACCCACGAAATAACAGGGGCTGGCCCTTCCTTACAGCACAGGCTAGTTGGCTATTGTAGGCTGTGAAAGGGACATGTGAGCTCCTATTGGGTCGGATTTGGTGTCACTCGAAAGGTCAGAGTTCAGCGGCTAATTTGAATACAAGCTATCGTAGTTGTTTACATTCAAATAGGAGTTATTACGGTTATAATGACATACGAGCCACGTCTGCCGGCAAATATGAAACGATGCGGCAGCAGTCCCTGGGGATTTATTGATGGAATAATGTGTTTTGGACTAAATATTTTTACTTCTTAGATTGGATCATGTGGACCTTTGACAATGTAACAAGACCGTTTTTGTTGGAATATAATCGATCGGTGGAGGCTTCAAAGGTGAGTCGTGTCACTTTTGATTGTACTGGTTGATCTGACAGAGACGCTGATTGGACCCGCTGTGGTGATTGTATCTTGAAATGGTTTGCATTGGTCAAATCACAAGGATTTTATCTTTCAAATGGTGTATCATATGAGTATGAAGTTAACCGAAAGACGGCATACCGAAAGCTGCCGTCAGGACCTGTGTTAAGATATTAATGTCGCTCTGCATTTTAAGTAAAATCTCTCAGTTCAACTCCAAATAAACATTACAGCAAACAAGCTTCTAGCGCTTTTATTATGTGGCAAAACCACTACAGAGGAAGTGATTATGTGAGTAACTGTTGCTGTCATGACTCAGATCTAGTTCATCAAAGCATTTATTTATTTATATTTTTTGCAGCTATCAAAGCACCATAATGTGGCTGGCCAGCAGTTTTTGGCAACAGTCCATAATCACAGAGAGAATTAATGCATTTCCCTTGTCAATGTTTGTATAAACTTTATCTATTATGTTATGATTTATACTGGACTGCAGAAACAGTGACAGTGTTTCACACTCTTGGCTTTCCATTTTATCTGTCAGTGGACAAGCCATAATAACATTGTTTTACTAAATAATTAAGGAAATATAATTTCTTAATATATCTATGTAAAGAAACCTCTTTTCTTGACTGGTTACACTCGGGTGTCTCAAAAGACTACAGCTTTTGTCCTGTGTCAGCCACCATACCTGTCGCTCTTTGAAAGGTTAGGGGGCAGTGGTAGGCCCAATCCCAATGTCCCCCCTCACAGACTCACAGACTTTGAGGCGCGTTCCCGGGAAGTCCGTGAGGGCTCAGGGCTGTCCCACTGTCAAATCGTCAAGCGCGCGAGGGCTCTCTCGCAGACATTTTGAGTCCTTTATAGACCCTTTTCGTAAGTCCGCATTTCTGCAGACTTTGGCTGAGGGAATTGCCCACAGTTCATAGCGGTATGACGTTAAACACGGGGGTTACAAGGGGAAGCCCGGAAGTGAGAGAAGTATCACGGCAAATCTGCCTACGACACCTACGCTGATGTTAAAATTGTTTTCTTAACTTAAGATGCTGCATAGAACACATGAAGTCACAGGAATGCAATAACCTTATGACACACTTGGTTTATTCAACAATTTATTTTAGTTTTTGCTTAATGATGCTGTTTGACCAACAGTAGTATATTGATTAATGACAAATATATTGACATTTAGGCTTCCTCTCCTCTACTCTGTAGGGCGAGAGCCTGTAGGACTTAAAAATCAGGCAAAAACAAAAAAATTTTAAGTGTGCAGTGTGTTTCAGCGTCGTCAAGGTAACGTGATAAAGTGGCAAAGGGCTGTCCTGTTCCTGTTTACAGCATTTTGAGCCCTTGTAACCTCTTAAACTCAATCACATTCCAAGTGACGTCAGCAGAGTCTGTGAGGGTTCAGGGTTTAGGGTTTAGGGGGAACATTGGGATTGGGCCGTAGACTCGACAGTTGGTTTCAATTTGCAACCTCCCCGCTTCTAAATCTGACACACTGAACCTTTAAGTCTGAAACTACATATATGTAAAAAAACAGTAAAATTAACTCTATTTTAAATATTTGATGATTTGCAGCACATTAAAGAAATTCTTTATATGTTGTTAGTAATAGGCACATGTATGGCCCAACTGGCTCTAAACACTTATCACATTGTCTGCTCCACAGGAAGAGTCGGGACAAGTGTCGAGTTTCTCGCATTGATGGTTCCCGAGTTGATTTGAATATAAAAATGTTTCTATGCACAGAGAGTTCTCAACATTGAATATGACATTTCCTATAACCTGTGTCATGTTTAAATATTTTATTCCAGAACAGAACGTGCCTCTCTTATGGTAACTTTTGTAATGATTTTGATTAGATGACAAAACAACTAATCTTTATACAAAAATTAAGTTATCATTAAACTGATGATGATGACATCAAAATGATGACATTTCTAGCACACTGTAATAGTAATGAAAGGTTAATTACTCTAATACTAAATTTGCGTACTTTGAATACTACTTGACTTTGTCGACTTTTTGTATACATAAGAGCACAAAATCAATGGTCCCCAATCTCAATTGTTTTCTCCTTTTCCCCCCTTAAATTAAATAAAGCAGAATAAGAGACAAAGAACCATGAAGCCTGAGCCGACCTCTGATTTGTTCTTGCCCATGTGCAAACCTTAGTGTGTACCTGGAAGTCATGTGAGAGTTCAGGACAGAGGTGACTGTACTGTGGCAGCAGCTCTTTGGGTCTGTCTGGGTCAGGACGGTTACGAAGTTTGTTCAGGTCAGTCTCCAAGTCGTCATCCTGGACAGAGAAACACACATACACACACTCATGACAAACATGCCAATCCAATCAAAATGGGCCTCAGAACATATGGAGGGAGACTCAGGAACAAGCTGTTGAAAAGGGAAGCAGACCTGTGAATTACGGGAGAAAACTGGATGATCGTGCAGGAGTCTGGAACCAGGCTATGGCATTCATCTAAATAGTCCACAAGAAAAGGGACTTGGTTGAGTTGTACAGTACTGGGCAAAAGGTCTGGTCATATCAAATACTGATTTAGATTCTTCTTGTGTCCAGTCACTTTGCATTTTGTTGATATATAAATATACTCTATTAACATGTCTATTTTTGAAAGCATTCTTACTTTACGGCATTCTCTCCACACCTGCCTAAAACTTTCTTCTTTTCTTCATCCATTCACCTTCTCCTAACCACTCCATCTATCTTCTCTTTTTTCATCGCATCTGGGTCTCTACCTCTATTCTCATCTGTTCCCACCAATCATTTCCCCTCCTAATCACCTCATTACTTCGACCTCTCTGCAAATATTAAAAAGCTTAGGGAGTGGGTGTATCTCTTGTCAGTCATAATCAAGCTTATTTTATTTATTTTAGTCTCTCGAATTATGGAAGTGCACTGGCATATGACTGTTCTTGACTCTTCCGTCGTTTCATGATGAAGAAGCAATGAGAATTAACTAAAACAGCATCCGTCACGGCCATAGGTATTATATTCCACTTACACAGGAGGTGTCACTAAGCGGGGAATTTAATTCAGTTTTATTTATGTGGTGCCAATTCATGCAAGAAGTTAGCTCATTGCACTTTTCATACAGAGCAGGTCTAGACCGTACTCCCTTTAAGCTGGTTGAAACTTTGAGCAGAACCTAGACTCCTGACCCTGGCAGTGGTGGCATATGCGGATGCTGGAGGGAAGAGAACACACAATAGCAAGAACATAAACACGTACAGTCAGTGTAGCCTGTATAGACAGCTGGATTCATTTAAATAGAGGCATATCTGATCCATCATAAAACACATGAGATGGCTGAAAAACACGACCGAAATGCCTCTTGTAGACAGGCTGTAAGATTTGTGGGACAGATTCGTGTCTAATAGTCACAATCTTGCCACCCTGCAGTGACAAGGTTGGCCCTCACTACTCCTGAAAGAGAGTACCATCTGTACCAAACATATTGTATTTGCAAGTCTCCGTGCAGATCATGGTGCTTTTTCTCTTTAGATGCACTGTCTGACTGGCCCACATTGTTTTGATCTCATTTTGAACAAGCATCTGTGTCTTTTTCTGTCATGCTGCTCTTTTGAAAGCCAAAATAAATAATGCTCCCAGTCAGTTTAAACTAATTCAAATTTTTTCAACCATCAACATAAAACACATATATGTACATAGTGAAACAATAAGCAAAGCTGAACCGTATTAAAATAATAGTTTGTGCTATAGAATATCAACTGCATTTCTTTCTTTTCATGCAAGTACCTCATCACTGCAAGTGAAGCATACTATCACAGCACCCACCGTGGTGTCTGGTGGTAAAAAAATAACAGATGGGAAACAAAAATTTAGCAGAGTTTGCTGGAGTTACCAGCATCTGCACATGCCACCACTGTCATGGTCAAAATTTCCCTATCCAGTCAATTCGACAAATTTTGGCATAAATTAAAATCCAATCAGATATTATTCAATGAGGTTTAAGGTTTGAAGGAGCTACTGACTGCTGTATGTGTCTGTTTTGGCCTTACAACCTGAATAAAAGAGGTTTCACTAACACTCCACAATGTATAGCATACATTTATTATGCTCATATTTTTTTTAATTATGATACTCGCATTCAAACTATATTACAAGAATCATTTGAAATGTGATTACCTTGGTGACTACTTCAGGAGCTCTATAGACAACTGTACATGTCGCTTTGAGGTGTCTCCAGTTAAAATACCACAGCACCAGGTTAACTAAAGTCCGTCTTTGGTTCTGAAAATTTGTGCACTTTAAGAAGTGTATAGTATTCTATATAGTAGAAATCTACTATTTGACAGAATAACTAAACAAAATGAGAGCATAAACATAAAATCACAATAAAAGAATAATTTCTATTTAAATAGTGTAATGCCCCAAAATATGAATAATCATATGCAGTATTGTAGCTCTTGACTGTAATTGGTCATGGCATATGTTCAATTACCCACTACAAGACCCACAGTTATTAGATATATTGAACATCTATTTAGTTGTCTTTCACTTGATATAAAAATATCTGATGTTTTTTTAATTATAGTTCCATAAAATCACAAAAGTCAAGCCCAAACTGAATCTCTTTTTCCTCAGACCTAAATAGAAAGATTAGAATTGGATGTTTGCTGGGAGCTGTTAAGCATTTGGACAACGTGTGTAGATACACCCATGTTACTGATTCACCAAGATGGTGGAACACAAATGGAACTTTTTCTGACAAGCTGTATATGTGGGCATTGTGGGTGGCACTTAGCAGCATTGCTGGTATAGTTATTGTCAGTCTCCTGTTGAAAACAAAGAACATCTGTCTTTTCCTGTCTATCACATACTGCCACACTGGGAATACAGCATTATTCAGTGACTGAGTCACCGTGAGCTATAAAGAAATAATTTTCTGTACATCATGTATGTCTACTGAGCTGTGTCTGCCTAATCAAAGGAAGGAAACCTTGTACAGAGCTCCTTCCACACATGCTTTACTCCATAAACATCCTGCAGTTTGACATGTTGGTGTCATGTTTGAGTTATAGTCACTCTGGCACTCTGTACTATGCAATATAAGATCCATAATTATGTTTTTGGTGGTGTATAATACATAATGAACCATTACATTTTTATTACCTTAGAATGAGCCATTTCTATCTAGATAACCGTGGGTCCCCCTTACACGAAGGTCAAAAGGAAGAATAAGAGGCAATAATAATAATAATATACAGTCTCTAAGTAGGTTTATTAGAAGTAAGAAGTGAAATGAAATTTGTACAAATGGAGGAGTACACGCACGAGCCGACAGTGTGTGGATCTTCGTAGTCAAAGAATTGAAAACACAATGACATATCACAGAAATCGCAGATATAAACATCGGTGTGGTTTTCATCCAGATGGAAGGCTCTGATGCGGGATAAATGTTTTCAAAGTGACACCTCCTGTAATTAAGTTAGTCCAACTTTTGCAATGCAAATGAACTGTTGTTTGATAGCTTTAGCTAGAAGCTGGTCATAATCGCCTAGAGAAGTGAGGTGTTTCACTTGTCAGTGATGTAAAATATGTAGTTGGATTAATTTCATGTAGTTATTCTCAGGTAAGATAGTATCTGCAAGTTAGGATGTTTCTTTAATACAGCTCCATATTCACTGTTACGCCGATGACACACAGCTCTATATCCTATATCTTCGGTTAGATTTGTGACCAGGACTTGTGTTTGAACCCGATGTAAAGCACGCTTTTCATTTGAGAATTATAGCCAAGTCTTTTACTTCAGCCACAGATCTGGAGAAACGCATTCATGCTTTCATCTCTTCCTGCCTCGACTATGGTAACTCCCTATATACCGGTCTCAGTCAATGTGTACCAAACTTAACACGCCATCCTGAAGACATCCATATGGCAACATTCACTCAAAGTCATATTGCCACCTAATGGCAACAGGAAATGACAAGTTTGATGCTGTGAGGTGCTACTACACTGTCTCAGAAAAGCCTTCAGGCATTGATGATGCTATGTTGTGAAACTTGTGACTTTACATCGAACACTGTTATTCAGTCAATATTCAGTTATCATCATAGCGCCTGAAAACAGGAAGTAAGCCCTGTGTGACAATCATCAGGAGTCTCATTTATAAATGTTGTGTACACACAAAACAGGGCTGGAAACGTGTGTAGGCCACTTCCGGCGCAAAGGTTGTGATCTACAAAAAACAAACTTGACGGGAGAATGTGTGGTCCTCCACACAAAATCTGAGCCATGCGTGCACACATAAACTAGGGAAATGAGAAACAGCGACTCACTCACATGGTAGAAGGATGAAATGGTTTGAAATGGATACTATTGTGTTAAATAAATCTAAATATTACCTTTGAGTATTATAGGCCAAAAAATCTTCCAGTTTTTCTCAATTGATTTGGCACATTTACTGAAGCAAACTTACAGTTGTCAAAACTCTAAGTACAATTCTCATACTATGTGGTACATTCTGCACACCACTCTGTGTGACCTGCAGAAGTGATTACTCAAAGGAATTAACACATGCTTCAAATGTAAATAAATCCATCAATGAACAAATCATTGTAATCAAAACAAAAGGTTCCTTTATCATTGTTTAGACCAAGACAGTTTAACAAAAGAAGAAATTGAATTGTTTCCCATCTAGCCTAAGTCTATTTATCTGAAACTTTTACAACAATACCACATACCTATATACAGACAGATTAATGCACATGCTGAATAGAGCGACCAACAATCACAATAATCCCAACGGATTTACACAATGAACGTGTATAACTGCATTTGAAAGAAAAATGACTCAATAGCAAAGAAATGCAAAGTTTTTTGATCTGCAAGGCTTACTTAATGCATTTTGTGCCAAAGGAATTATAAATGACTATTGTAATGTGAACAACTGACGTAATGTTCTAAAAATGGTTATGTAGTTTGACAAAGTTTAATAGTCATTTGCCAGTTGTGCCAAAGCGATTAAGAAAAACTTTAATAGAAGTTAATATTCTATGAGTTCATTTGCAAAACAGATGAAGGCCTTTCTGAATAAACAAACACTCGTTTGAGCATATTTAAGTCACATGCTGTGCGCCAGCATGTGGATGTGATGCATTGCTTGTAAAAACACTGTATGGGAAAAAATAACACTATGTATTACGTAAATTTTTCAGTGTACCGCTTATGTCACATAAAACAAGTCATTTTTCTCATCACCAGCCTTGTTAAGTGAGTGGAGTGTTTGTGTAGCCTAGATACATTTTTAAAAACAA